ATTACAATATCATTTTCTATTGAATGACACGATCGTCGTGATTTCAATTAATACCTGTTTATTTATATTTTATTACTTTACACATTTAATAAATGTTATTTAAGTTGTTGGTAGCATTTGCATCGTTACTTATAAAAATAAGATTTTATGACAACTGTATTAATCAATTCTCACGAAACTAGGTTATATTATCAGCTTAATATAACATAATTGCGTAAGAATAAAAAATAATTAAATAGAATCCAATAGTAAAAAGGTAGTATTCAAAAGAAAGTCGATTATCGCAAAATATATTGGAGATAAAAGGTATTTGTATATCTCGATCGCGGGCCATTAGACAGGCGAATCGAATGAACAAAACTGTAATGGTAGGATGAAGAATGGCGCCTAATGAAGACGATTACAAAAAACACCTCGTAATAGATTTCTCGGGGATAAGAACCCTGAACCGCGACTGATTCGAGATCATTACGATTAAAATTGAAGAGGAGGTTTAAATGGCCTCGTATTTATTGCATATTCAAGACACTTATGATTAACAAACGATAGAGTTTTTATATAAAATAATTAAAATGCAAACTAAAGTAGATACACTCTACAAACCGTAGATGTAAGATGCCATTGCCTCACAAGACCTTTCTTTGTCGCTTTTCGTTTATAAAATTAAAACTAGTTTGTACGTCTCTACGGCTCTTCCCTGTTTCGGCAATCTTTGCCGAACTGCGGAAGGGAGCAACAGAAGTATGGCAGATATTCGCAAAGAGCGGAGACAATAAGACAGTGCCGTATAAGGTTGGCGACCGCGAGACGACGACGCGACGACGTGTGCGCCGTCATCCAGTCAGCCCGTATCGGGCGCGTCGCAAGAACGAAAGCATTCGCCGCTGACAAATCGCCGGATAATTTGTTACTTCAAAAACAACTATACAGGATGTTCTTAAATTTTGACGCAATTAAATTGCCGCCAAAAAAATATTTCACCAGGTATTATTTTTATGGATTTGACATGTTTTTCCTTACCCTAGGCTCAATTTAAATATACAATTCAACATTTTTCACCAAATCCATTACCTGTTAATACTTGAAAGTAAGGTTTAATACGTAGAATATCTCTCACTAAAGTATTTTTCTATACAAATGCATTAATCTATGTCAATAATTAATTTTCAAAAACGATCACGTCGTGCAGTAGATGTAGCGCCGTTGACATTAGCATTTTCATTGTAACGCGTGTCCCATGCGTGGACAACAGCCGTATAATTCGCATATAAATGGTAGACAGTTAGAGCAAAAGGAAACAATGCTGCGTACTGAGAATCCGAGAGATATCGTCGCATCAATCAACCTAATGCCATATACAGAAACACAAGTTTACAATGAAAGGCAATCGCCAAAGAGTAAACAGTGACCAGACAAACATAACCTTATTTTTAACTGCTTTCTGTACTATTCTGTATGTTATTAGTTACTTTTTGACTTTTAAAGCAACCAACAATAGACTTTTTACTGTAAGAAGTAGACTTAAAATACAATTCGCTTATAGTTTTGTCTAAAATTGCGAGGATTTTAAAAACGAGAGAATTTTGATGCATTTGAGCTTACAAAAAAGCAGAATTTGAAAATTAAAATGCGAATTAATTTATTTTAAAACTTGTAACACTTCTTGCAGTACAAAACACCTGCCCTATTTAATCTATGATCATCGTAAGCAGATGCGCGTGCGCTGCGCATGGCGAGTGGCGACGAACGCGGTAACAGGCGACGATGCGATATCTCGCGATTTATCGCAGGATATTTATTTGCAATTGTAATAAACTATTCGACAGGCGATAGAATGCGACGAGAAATTCTATGTTACACGAAATACAAAATTAATCCTCTTCACACGTAGGGCTTATCTATAAGAACATTTAGACGGAAAGCATTCCAATGAAACTGCATTTTATTTGTAAAGTATCTATTGCCTTTAGAAGTATACTAGCTGTTGCCCGCGACTCCGTCCGCGTTGAATTAAAAAAAAACAAAAGTGGGTAGCCTATGTGTTCTTCCAGACTGTCCTCTACATCTATACCAAATTTCATCAAAATCCGTTCAGCTGTTTAGGCTACAAACTATAACAAACATCCATCCATCTATTCATCCATCCATCCATCTATCTAAACTTTCGCATTTATAATATTAGTATGAAGTATGATTTCCGCTATAAAATGTATTTCAAAATATTTAAATAATACTTTGAGATACACCAAACACCAACAGATAAATCAAATCCTATCCAAGAAAAACTTTAATAAACATTACGCTTGGCAATAAAACTTAAAAGCGATTATATTATTTTTCTTCATACTGTATATAATAAATCGATTTCAATTTAACCATGATTCTTTTTATGTGTTTGGAGTGTGAGAATAAAATGGTTAAGGAATAAGGGAACAATACCGATTCCTGAAAAGGCGCGGACATTACGCGGCGTGCCGTGACTTAGCTCAGCGCTCGGCAATTTGTTATAAATAATTCCAGCAAAAAACGCGGCGCCCAGCGGCAGCCGGTGCCACTGCCTGTGCCTGTGCTGGCTGATCAGCCGACGAGTAATTATAAATCAATACACTATTTTTAAAGCGAATCAAATATACAGCGGGATCTTTTATTGCAACAGAGTAAAGAACATACAGGGTTTCCACTAAGTAGTCTTTAACTTAATAAAATTATAAAAGACTTTATCATAATTGTTTTAAATTATTAAGGTTAAATACAATCTCAACTCTGAGTATTACAAAATTTAGTATCTCCCAATTTCAAGACATGTGACTCATATAAACTCTACCGCTGTTATTGCAACATTAAAACGCACTTAACAAAGCAATAACAATAAAAACGTTGATTTTAATTAAGACGAAACTTAACGTTTGAATTTCTGATACATCCTGTATAATTTAGATACTATAATAAATTCCGAACGCGTTGTACATTCGCTTACAAATGGAGCAAAACGGCTAAACAAATTGCAGCGACAACAGCGCTGAGAGAGTCCGCTTTTTGTACTAATTCGGCATACCGAAATAAAAATTCCAACTCCTTACGGAGATGAGGCAAAAACTGTATCGCGATGGCAAGCGGCGAGCGGCGGCGGGGAGCTGCGGGGAGCGGCAAAGCCTCTTCGGGGAAGGCGTTCAGTGAGTGATTTTAAAAATGGAATGTAAAAAGTGAGCTCCTGAAACCGAGCCGCTGAGGTATTCACCTCAGTAAGCGGCGTGAGTAATCGACGTTTAAAAAAATGCCTTGCGCTTTTATCGCGATGATTTGTAATATCGTATCATACGATGTCATCATTATGTCATTTGTATCAGTTTCGTGATCCCACTTTGATAACTCGAGTGATTTTAAATCATCGCAGGCATCTTAAAACTCCGTTAAATGTCACCGAAATCGTAAAAGATATCATTTTTTCCTTATCTAGATAGATAAGTACAAAAAATTTAATTCAGCAACAAAGATACAATCCAATCTCGTCTCTATAAACTAAAAGCTGAGATTGGTCCCGTAATTTAGATAGCTGACCGCGTTTCCACTTCGGGGAAGGTAATCGCTTAGCTAACAAATCGTAAAGGCGACCTCGTGACCTAATCTGAACCAACCCCATCACATGATGAGGCCCATCGTAGCTAGCTGGAAATGTCACTCCGCCTCGAATGGGCAAGGTTTTTAATGGCTCAGCATTACTGTAATGTTTATCAACCATTTATTATGATAACAGGGCATAAAAAATTATACTAAAAAAACTTGTCATTCTAAAGACATGGAGAGCATGACGTTGAACATTTAAAAGTCGTATAAAACTTTTGCATACCAAAGTACCAATATGCCACAGTAATGTAAAACAACAATGTTTTATGGTTAGCATTTCCAGTAAAAGTGACATAGTATAGCTAATATCAGCAGACAAACGATGGGTGGAACAGGAAGGGTGTAGCAGACCGCCCCATAAACTTTATAGGTCACTATGACACGGTTTATGGGGTCGCAGACGACCTCGATGTTAACACTATGAGAATATGCCAACATTGTGAGCTAGAGTAACAATAGACTAATGTTATAGCATGCAAACGCATTTGTCTACTGTAAACTACGGTCAGCATAGCAAGATTGGATAAACAAGTTCTACTACTCTACACTTTACTCACAAAGATATATAGTAAGAGTGGGATGTTGTGCTACTGTCGATTGTTTCGCAAATGCAATTGTTTAGTTGCATAACTAAAAATCGAGTAGTGAATCGACCTCCTTAAAGCTTATAGGAATCAAAGGGTGACTAAACAGTTGTGCGATAGTTTAGTCATTGGTGTGCGTTCGCTCTAGCTATATTGAATCACAAAAATCTCCTTACCTCTTTTTAATATAGATATATAGCTCAAAACCGTTTTTATTTCTTGGTGTGCAACAGTTATAATCGATGTATAAATCAAAATGTAAATATTCAATTTTTACATTTACCAGGTCAAGAATGACTTCATGGTAATAAATTCAGTGCGAAATTCGTTATCATAAATGAGAACAGAACAGCCCTCGTAACTCACGAGCATTAAGATTGCGAAGCTCTTAGCGCTTTCACTCGTAAATTTTTACAAGAATGAGTAATGGCATGCATACAATAAGTTCACCGTATTGAATTTTTTATAGCATTTCAGTAAGTTGCAATATTATTTACAATTGCCAAAATGTTTTTTTACGAAAGTTATGTTAACAAAACTAAATGTTGATCATAGTTTAACTCGATTTATCTATATGTATACTAATATTATAAAAAAGAAAGATTTGTATTTTTTGTATGTATTGAAATAATTCAAAAACTACTGGGCCGATTTAAAAAAATGTTTTACCGTTAGAAAGGTAAATTATCTATAAGTAACATATGCTATATTTTTTAATTTAACGCGGGCAAAATTGCGAGCTACAGCTAGTCTTTTGTAAACCAAAGTAAGTCTAAAATGTATAAAACTCACCACAATGGGTCCATTCCGTCCAGTACTTGACAATGTCGCTCCGAACCACTGGTTAGATTTCTGATCGATCTGTCGATGCTGCGTGTCCACGTTGTTTCCTGTAAACAAATAATCACTTAAGAAGAAGAAAACTACGGTAGGTCAGAGCAATACCCAATGATAAATACAATGGCATACAAAATGGCCCATTACATTGCATTTTACATATAGTAAAATATTTACTTTTAATAAAACATACTTGCGATTCTTTAAAGTAACCTTTGGTTAAACGCATAAAGAAAACATTAGGCGAACTAGTAAAGAGTTCAAAATATAAAAAAAAAACAGTAAGTAATAATTTAATCACTGGTAATAAAGAAATATGTATCAAGTAACAAACACATGCATGCGTGAATTCAATTTCTTTTATTAACGACGCATGCTTTGTACGGCGCCCGTATCCATTACCACAATGCTTCCGTCATACGGAAATGCACTATTAAGAGAGAGGAGTAAATAAAAAAACTACACTTTAACAAATGACACTACAGACGATTTAAAACCGAAAAACAAGTTTTGTTTTAACATTATTTAGATCTTCGACGTCAAATAGCAAGAACCTTATTTTATTCAAAAAATAACAAGCGACCGTATGAGAATGGAGACACACAGGAGGCGTGTACTCTCTTCGTACGTCGCAAGCCTTATCTCCGAGTACATCGAAACTCCAAAATACGTAATTAATATTTAACCGAGAGCAGTGAATTTTAATTATTGGACAGTGAATAATGGGCGGTCACATGACTTCGAGTGCCATGTAACTCTAGTTAATTTAAACGTTCGATTACGAGTCGCTTTTGATTGATGCTTTTCTGAACATCGAATAGGTCATACCAAGTCATCCATTTGTATCTTTCACGTCTTAAAGTCAATTATCCATTCATACAATATAAGTTACTACAAAAGCTCTATTAATTCTAATTACTAATAATAGAGATTTAATAGACTTTAATCCACTGTACTGGACTGGCCGCCGACCCGTCGGCCGGTAGGTACCGCGGGCGAGACGCCGTAGAGCTGGACCTGCGCGAGCTAGAGTCGTTCGAATGGCAGGCGACAACGCAGGACAGACGACGCTGGCGCTCTCTCGTCTCGGAAGCTAAGACCCACTTTGGGTCGCTGCGCCAATGCAGTAAGTAAGTAATAAACTTTAATATTCAAACAGTGGTTAAAAATAATTGTATCACAAATTAAAAACTGTCCTCTTGCAACTTGCTTATTAACGTAATATGGTTTTGCAAATGTGTCCCGGATCTGCACATGCATATATGTAATGTTTTGTTAACATATCTTAAGGACACACTTGTATTAAAGTTTCCATAAATTGACATAGAATGATAAATGATGTCGCAGCGATCTTGCGACGCGTCATGTAACAGACGTCAATATTGGGCTAATGACCACCTCCCCCCTACCGCCCTCCATCGCCCGCCGCACCCTTTGCCCAAGCCTAATCGTACTGAGGCTCACCTTTTATACTGATTGTGTACTGACGCGTAGATAATACAAGTAAACCATTTTTATTACATTATTGTCAAGAAAAACTCCTAAAACATTAAAAGATTAAATTGGTTGTTAACTACGATAATAGAAAACAAATAATTGATGAATAAGAGAGCAGAGTCCATCCAACAAGGAAAATAAAAAGAAATATACTGGATTTTAGAACAAAACTATAAGAATTTATCTAATAAGGAAGAGTTTTGTTTACGGCTTTTTAACAACCCACAACCATGATTCATTTTTTTACATAAAAATAAATATAACACTTTTCTCCGCGACATTACCTCACAATGACAAGTCTGTCTATTAGCCGCTGCATATCGGTTATGGTTTTATTTTATTCCTACACGTGATGCGGTCCCCTAATGGCCGCCGACACTTACATATCGGCCGGACATTAGCTGCCTATGTGCTATATGAGTCACGAGGGAATGCTCTTGTCGGCTAAGACTTTCTATTGACAAATGTTAGTCATAATGAAGCTCTTGTGCGAACTCATTTGCAAGATTGAATGTTTTTATATGTGTATAGATTGATCAATTTTTTTTATGTGTCCAAGATCTGAGTACGAGTAAGTTGGTGCCAATAGTTTTTTGTTTTGTGAATACCTTATACTGTTAATATTATCGTTTGTTTAGTAACTTTATAACTAACTGTTGCTCGCGACTTTGTCTGCGGGAAATTAAAAAATAATATAACACAGCAACTTATCGATGTAGCCTATGTTACTCACTTAAATTACCGTTTTAACGGTGAAAGATTCTTTAAAATCGACCCAGTAATTTTTGAGTTACTTCAAAAATAATACAAAAATGCAAATCATTTCTGTTTATAATATTAGCTCAGCTAAAATGTCTTGACGATGTCTTAATGGTAGGATCATCGAAGTCTTTTACCATGATCTGACGGAAATCTGGTTACTTTCTATCACTGGGTATTAATTACGCCCACATTATATTGGAATAGAAAAGAAGACTTTTTAAAAACTATAGAAATAAAAACAGGAATTCAAAATTGAGTCGTGGGTTTTAACAAAGCATTTAAAAACGATCAAAGTGGAATGTCTATTGGTATTATTGAAACGTTGCATTTCTCACATATTCGGGCTCACATTCTTAGTCTAATATTGTTGAAACAACTAAGTATAGTGATAAATAAAAAAGATTATGTGATTACCTAAATTTAAATTAGTATGGTGACTTTAAATAAAACAAAAATATTATTATGATGAACCCACATAAGTTAAAATGAGTTATAATTATATACTTTTTCGTAATAATTAAAAAAAGCCGTCTCTCTGTTTGTTTTGTTAAGCAAAGTGCCACCCGAAAGAGCTTCAGCTTGATTTTTATCTCTGCCGATACCCGTAATGGCATGCCTTATACGGCGCGATGATACCATACATCGGGCCCAAATTATACCTTGTTTTATTGTTGCATGTAATATGGCCACACCAACAAAATCAAAAAGGTTTACAATGGATTTTTCTCTTAGTCGGAACTACAGGTTGATACATTTTTCTAATTATTTTTTTTTTACTTTCCTAACTTTCAATTCAATTACTAATATTAGTACAAATAAAATTGTAGTTATGATAGAATCAGATAATAGCAATTGCAATTTTGCGTAAATATTTAAAAATTCTCATCCGCTCCGACGTAATTTATTAGCGAATTTTGTACTAAACATAAATCAATTTTAGATTTTTAAGTTATAGCTCATACAGGGTGGTTATGAGCTGGGTGACTCAAGTGGCTTGAGTCTATTCTGTTACTCGTAGAAGTAGTTTCTTCCTAATACAATAGATAACAACTTAGAACATCCTGTAGCTATACATATCGGATACTTGAATAAAGACATTAAGTTTCGACATCAATTTCCGCACTGTTATGACGCTGTGATTAAACGCACGACAGGGTCGGACTCTAATTTGATCGGTCGCCGTTTGCAGCGGGCTATCTGATCACAGAATATTGATGGCTCATCCCCGATATTGGCCCATCTCTTTATTAATGTTGAAAGCTTGTCTTTTAAGTAATTACGGTACTTTAAATAACTGAATATTCATCGACACCAATGATATATTTGCCCGAATCTTCCGATATTTTTTGAATGAAAAATGTCTTTCGTGTTTGATCGAAACGTGTGTGACATTCTTGTTTTTTTTTTAAACAAAAAACAAAATAGATAATTAAAATAAAAAATGTGTCATAAAAAGAATAACATTTACAAGAATGTTGACAATATTTAAGGACAAAAGATTGAAATGTCTCCAGTGCCAGTGACGCGGCAACGTTCCGCTCCAGCTATCAGGAGGAACCCCTATGGTAAATGTTACGTTTACAATTATTTTAACCTTTCTTGTTTGAAACAATAGCTACAGGAAAAAGGCAATTTTTATATGAAACTGTAACTTGACTACTACTAAAATAGAAAGTTAAAAAGTAAACTCATCTATGTTTATTGGTAACTCTTCTATATCAAGATAAGATTAATGGATATTCGAGTGACTCTTGTAAAAAAAGTAACCCTTACAATTCACAGATTAACGTAGCAACAGAGAGCCCCCACATACACTAGATAGAAGCAATTAGAAAAAGGTGCGTCCATTTCACGCTTCGTTAAATAATAATTGAGGTGATTTATTTAATAACTGAAACATCCTGTATTACCTTTCAAATTGGAATTCCAAATAAATCGTCACTAACCGTTTTGAACATACTGTAGCCACTGAATTTAACAGCAGGTAAAAAAAAATAACTAACAAAGCAATTACCTTTACAAGAATAATGTTCACAATTATATCGTAACTTTCACACAGATGAAAATCCTTAAATTTCTTATACAAAATACACAAGTACTTACGTAATTTCAAGAGTCAGTGTTAATGGTAAATTAACTTTACAAGTGGAGACAAATGTGCAGTACGAACAGTAGAATTCAACGACGTCTCATCAATCTGTGGTTTAAATTGGTCCACGGGCCGAATTGAACGAATTGGCCGGGCCGGGACCACTTGTCGCTAATTGATCTCGGGACGGGGACGAGACGGGGACGGCCACTCTATTGCCTTATTGATTGCTATCCGCTCTTCACCTTCGTGCACGGGTATTTAGGACCCTTAGTTTAATTTCTTAATTGGATAGCATTTAAGAACTGTTTGCTAATATTACTAATTTTTATTACGAGATGAGATACGTTAAACAATTGGATTTTGAGTGAAAACATGTGTAGTCGTATTGAGCCATAAGAGAATACGTCGGGAAATCGTGACAATAGATGGTTCTTACAAAAATAAAAGACGGAAACTCTACACACATGTTTTATTGATCGCTTATAGTAATGTACTATACAAAACGTGCCAATGAATGTTTATCCAGCATGCTTACTTATATTCTTAGTAACCATTTAATTCTTAGACAGAAGCAATCTAAATTATGGTATTTAACGCTTACTGTTTACGAACATTTGCATCGCGTCACGAGCTTACCGCGAACTGAAGTGGTCATGAATATTTTTAACTCGACAAAGCAAAAAGCGGGGACCGTGATTTCAT